TACGTGTTTGTTTTAGGACGTATGGGCTCCCAGATCGTGATTCCTCACCGATGTGACCAGTACCATCTCATGTACCTCAGACCTATGGGTGATCTGGGCCAGATCATCTTTATGGTAAATGGACTCACCACCATTTGTGTTATATCCAGAGGAAGAGTTTCCTCTCTAATGAAAGTGGCCTAAACTAATCAAATGCGTTAGGATGCTTTTACAGGAATGGGATGCAAGAGATAAGGAATCGATCAAAAGAGCAATTTCTCACTCCAACATAGGGCTGGACAATAATTCAATATCAATATATATCGCGATATAATTTTTTTCAATAACGGTGATATGATTTTTAAACACATTTCCGATATTTCGATATACATTACCAGTGTTTCCCATACATTGATTTATTTGTGGCGTTTGACTTCGTTGAATAAACATGAGCACTGCACGTTTCAAAATCAAAATGCGTCGCGGGTGTTTTATATGAATGTATCTCTGAAGGGAACCGACTGTCTTCAGAATAGTTTAGATGGCATTTTTATCTGATAAAGTACCGTTCATGAGCGGAGCTGCTTTGTTTACATGAGATTTATTTGACAGTGATTTCACATTTCTTGTTTGTATGAAGGCTAAATACCAATAAAAGGTGAACATTTATTTATTTGTGCCATTTTTTTCCTAAAATATTATATAGTTTTATAGGAGTAGGTTTCATAGAGTTGGCAAATAAATTTTTCATAAGTTTGTATGCACAGACATCTGTTGTGGCCGTTCTTGGCCGTTTTTATGAGGCTTTTTTAATAGTGTTCATATCGATATCGGAATTATATCGTATCGACCGAAATTAAGAAATATATCGTGATATAAATTTTGGCCATATCGTCCAGCCCTACTCCAACGTGGTGATCAACCTTGTGGGAAGAGAGTGGGAGACCAGGTACTAGAAAGTAGGGATTTTAAAAATACAATTAAAAGAAATTCAATGTTTACTGTGCTTGTGTGTAAGGCTGAATGATTTGGCCAGAGTTTTGTGAATATATATCAATATGGCTATATAATAATAATGATAATAATACAATAATGATGATAATAATATAAATATTTTAAAATAAATAAATAAAATGTAAAAATTACTAAAAACAAAACAAGAAATATTACTATTGTAATAATTCACTGTAAACAAAAACAATCAAATATTTAATAAAATATATTATTATAATAATTGTACTTTATTTGATCATTTTATGGCTGTCTTAATTTCTTCATTTTCAAACATTAAACTTTTATTGATGAGCTGTTCATGTGTAGGAACACACTGCCATGCTTCACTCGAACACATGCAGCACATATATTTATTTAATTAAACAGCAACCTTTGCAATTTGATAATCACGCACAAGTAATTTTGTAATTTCAGTTTTGATTTTGTTTCAAATTACTGTGCCAAAACATCAGAGCTTTACTATATCTCAAATGATCCTCAACCTGTCTAATGAACAAAATTCTTCCTAAACTAAACAAAATTCTAACTTGGATACCACAAGGTGGTTTGTAGATGTATTCAAATAGATTATATTTCTATAAAACATGCTGTCTTTTTCCCCTTTTTAAAGGAACTACAAGTTTGAAGATGTCTTCGTCTCCATGCCCCAGCAGATCGCAAGGGCAGCTCGTGAAGCCGGAATCAAAAAGTTCATACATATGTCCCACCTTAATGCAGATATCCGCAGCCCTTCCAAGTACCTAAGGAATAAGGTAAGGGTTTAATAATGTGGTCATATGCTTAATTAAAACCATGGGTGTGCCAATAGCCAATGATGTAGGTAAACTTTTCTAAAGTCAATAATAATGCATTTACAAATGTAAAGTGGATAATTGCACAGTTGTTGTGTCATAACTGGTCATGTGTTTAACTCTTGCAGGCTGTAGGTGAGGCAGTGGTGCGGGAAGAGTTCCCTGATGCCATCATTATGAAACCCTCTGAGTGCTTCGGAAGAGAGGATAGATTCTTGAACCACTTTGCTAGTAGGTGTCTGATTATATCCTGAAATCAGTTACTGATTGTAACTATTAAAAATATGCCTTGTTATTTTGTGATGACAGAAGTAGAATTTGGTCTGTCTTAAAGGGACAGTTCACCTGTTTGTTAAATTGATATTTCCTGTAATTGTTGTTGTTTAGACATGCGTTGGTTTGGTAAAGCTGTTCCTCTTATTGCAATTGGCAAGAAGACCTTCAAACAGCCTGTTCATGTGAGTATCAACCAGTCTGAACACAAGATCTTATGTAAATATTCATGGTCATGGTCTCTGATTATTTCAGATTAAAGATGCAATATTTTGCTTTTTAAAGCAAATGTGGTGGATGTGGCCAAAGCCATCGTTAATGCCATCAAAGACCCCGATGCTAATGGGAAAACATATGCTTTAGTTGGGTAAGAACCGGTCCAATTTCTCCTTCACTGTCTTCTAATTTAGGAAAATTCACACTTTTCAATCTATGGTTTCTTGTGTCTGAAACAATATGAATCTCTTGCTACACAGGCCCAACCGGTATCTACTGCATGACTTGGTGGAGTACATATATGCTCTGTCCCACAGGCCATATTTGGCTTACCCCATACCTCGCCCTCTCTATCAGTAAGCATTTCCTAAAAAATCAATTTACATTACTTATCTTAAAGGTGAAGTATGCCACTAGTGTCACAGGTTTCTGCAGGTTTTATGAAGGTAAATTATAAGAGTTTTTAAGCCCAAGTAAAGAAAATTTAAGGAATAAACTGGAACTATATAATATACTTTAATATGGCCTCTAAATGTAAATGTCTTGAGTTAGCAACACTTCAGAGTTTGAAAGTACAACTTACAACAGATCTCCATTACTTAATTTAATTTACCATAAAAAATGGCTTGAATACAACCACTAGAATATGGCATATCTATTACTGTACCTTCTGATCACACAACTTTTACATTTACTTAAGAAGCGAAATTACATAAAATAAGAAGTCTTGTTTTATTAGAAATGTATAAAAATGAAGTGTTTATATGCTTATTAAAACTAGAACACGTACCTGCCAAATTGGAAAATCAACTAAATTCAAAGGGAAAACAAGTTTTTTATACCCCATTGACAAATGTTTGTTCTTGTTTTAAGCATAAACTCAGTTAACTTTGTTCAATTCTTCAGAAAACAAGACTTCACATGTTTAGTTTGTGTCTGAAGTAAATTTATCTTGATTTAAGAAAGTTTAGATATTTGTATTGGGAAACAAAACAAGAAATTCTGAGGAATGCAACATTTAATGCCATGACTTTATGCCATGGATTAAGAGAATGTAGTTTGATAAAAATCATACAACCTTCACCTTTAACCTGAAAATTTACAGAAGTTTACCTACTTTGGCAGCCACATATATTCCCTTTGTGTTCTCTGGTTTTAGCCTCATCGCAAGATTTTTTGAGATGAACCCTTTCGAGCCCTGGACGACCTGTGATAAAGTCGACCGGGTATGTGTTTCAGAGCATTACAAAATTATACATTTAGTATATCATCAAGAACGTAACAAATAAGGTTGAAACCCTCATTTATAGTTCCACACAACGGACATGAAGTACCCTGACCTCCCAGGACTGGAGGATTTGGGCATTACACCTTCCTCCATTGAGCAGAAGGCCATTGAAACCTTGCGTCGCCATCGCCGTTACCGCTACCTGGATGCTGAGCTCGGAGAGACCAAGGCTGCCAAAACAGTCAGCTATTAAACAAGAGGCAGTGGCTCCTGTGTTCAGTCAGACCTCTGCTGGTCCTCACGTGTTGTCTAGTTTTACTTTTTCTGTACATAAATAAAGATATTCAACCTATAGCTTTTGCACGTTTTTTTTCCTCTTCCGCGTGCAATGCATTTTCTTACATTTGCCCGACATAGAAAAAAATTACAGATGGGACAGATCTGATTTTTTTAAATGTTAAACGTTTTGTGAACAACGTAGACACAATAATTTATATTTAATATTCAGTGCCTTTAAAATGACTTGTGGTCTTGTATGCTAAGTTATAGGTGATTTACATATTCAGTAGAAATTAGTATTGATCACATGACTTTGTTTGCTAATGTCATTCTAAGGTGAAGGTCATATTCAATATATTATTTAATTCAAGAGTTTTGTTTTGTGTTGCTACAATCAACTTTTCTTATTTAAAAATATATTTTTTTACAAAAATATTTTTTTTTAAAGTACATTTTACAAAAAAAAATTTAAAGAAAATAACTTATTCAGCAAAGATACATTAAAATGGATCAAAAGTGACAGTAAGGTATTTGTATTACTACAAAAAAAGTAATTTTTCAAAGCCTTTATAGGCTTTCTAACAAATACTGTTATTCTGAACTTTCTATTCATCAAAGAATTATGAAAAAAAAAATGTACCATGGTTTCTGCAAAAAAACAACAACGGTTTTCAACTTTGATAATAAATGCTTCTTGAAAACTAAATCAGCATATTGAAATTATTTCTGGAGGATCATGTGACACTGAAGACTGGAGTAATGATCGTTAAAAAAATAGTTTTGCGTCACAGGCGTAAATTACATTTTAAAATATATTTAAATACAAAACTTGTTTGAAATTGTAATCATATTTTACAGTATTGTTGTTTTTACTGTATTTTTGATCAAATAAATTCAGCTTTGGTTAGCATAAGAGACTTTTTTTTTTTTTTTTTTAAACATTAAATAATCTTACCAACTCCAATTGGTTTATTATAGTATAACATTATATGTATATATATATATATCACTTCCTGTATCATATGTTAGACACTAATAGGTTCTTAAGAACTTTGACTTCTGACCAAACCAGCAATACTTTAACCACTCCTATATCTCATATCAGAGGTGTCTTGTGTAAATCAAAGTACACCTTTGTTGACAGTCCGCTTTATGTACAGGCATTGGTATACCTTCTTTGTTTTTTTCTTGTAAATCATGGCCACAAAGACATTGTGAAAATGAAGATTGCTGCAAGAGTCCTGTGTTTGTTAGTTATTGTTGTCGTAGTTTACAGTCTCGTGAACATGTCATTTATCAGACAGGAGAGGAATAATGACAACAGGTTAAAAAGGATAGAATATCTGGAGGTTCTTGGAAGACTGAAGATCATTGAAAATCAAGTTTATAAAATAGGTGAGTTTGTGCTCATTACATTCATTTTGAGAACATTTTGAAGTTTATCATTATCTCAATTTACATACTTTAATTTTCAGCCAAATTAATAGAAGTCAAAAATCAAGTCAAAGAGGCTGTTGTGGAACAGAAAAGTACAAAGAAAACTGAGGTTAAGAAGTTGTATCCAAAATCACCTCTCTTCAGTTCATGGGGAGCTGAACTCACAGAAGAGGAGCAGATGGAAGCAGAGAGGCAGTTTCAAGAGTTCGGATACAATGTGTTCCTCAGTAACAGATTACCACTGAACAGAACAATCCCCGATACTCGAGACATCAGGTAACTGCTTTACAACTGTTTTCTAGTTTGATATATATTTTCTATTTTAAGGGGAGACACTGAAGGCAAAAACAATTTTCATGCACCTGTCAAGTTTGAGATTTTGGGCTATTTGATTTTCTATTAAGTGTTTTTTCAGACTAGTGGAAAGAAAACATCCAAAAGACACTGTTAAGTATTTATTTTATAGCACTTTATCTATTTGTGCCAATAGATTTCAATTACAATGCATGTTTTTAAAGGCCGTTTTCTCAAAATGAGTTTTTTTTCTCCTACACTGAGCCATAAATCTCCACTTCAGTAGCACTTACACACACCAAACTTAGATTTCAATTACAATGCATGTTTTTAAAGGCCGTTTTCTCAAAATGAGTTTTTTTTCTCCTACACTGAGCCATAAATCTCCACTTCAGTAGGACTTACACACACCAAACTTTACATTTTTATTCCTGTCTATATCCTGAAGGTTTTTAAAGAGGGATTTGTTCATATATAATTTGCTTGATTATATACAACATTTTAATCCCCCCAAAATTGTGAAAATATAGTGTTTTCTGTCCGTTCTAAGCATTTTCTGAATTATGGAGTGACAAAAATGAGATACCCAAAATTCCCTCTGTAAAAACCTTTAACTCTAATATTTCAAAATAAATTCAACAAAAATTTGAATTTTCAAACTAACATCATCCAGTGTTTACGATTTTTGTACTAGAAATGTATGCAAATGAGCGCATATTTCATTAAATAATGACTCGTTTGCATATCTAAACCTAACATTTTAGAAAACTTTTTAGAAAACCTAACATTTAGTAATGCAAAAAGTGTTTGCAATTATCAATGTAATCAATCAGCTGGGTAAGTAAGGCGATAACTATTAGTAATTTTTTTTACCTTATTCACCTGCAGTGTCTCGCCTTAATATATGTAATTTATTCCTCCTTTGATATACTGTATGTATATATATATATATATATATATATATATGTGTGTGTGTAGTCATTAAAAGGGCAATCCACAGCATCACTGACAAAACTCCTGCTCATCTGCTAAAGGAGATCATCCTGGTAGACGACTATAGCTCAAATGGTTAGTTTAGCCCTAGATATTTTCTTTTTTAAATATTAGACTTTCAGATTTTGAACTGTTTTTTTTTTCTAAACTGTTTTTCATGTGTCCAACATCAATCTGATATTTTTCTTTATATATAAAGAAAAAAAATAAACATAATTAATGGGAATATAGAAAGATTCATAAGACAAAAGTACTCATTAAGAAAAATATTTACAGTGTGCATGAATTAATTCATAAAATTATTTTATTAAATATAAGTTGTTATACTCAATATATTAATCGTTTAATATAACTATTTATTCTATTACATATCGTTAATTTCTTGACAGAGGATCTGCAATTGGCTCTAGATGAATATATTGATCTATTTAATAAAGACAAGCCTGGCTTAATCAAGAAAGTGAGACACAAAAGGCAGATGGGTCTTGCCAAGGCCCGAATCTCAGGCTGGGAAGCGGCCACAGGTCAGGTGGTAGCCATTCTGGATGCACACATTGAAGTTCATAAGGAATGGTAAATACTACCACAGTCTGAGTATGATAATAAGAGGGACTTAATATCTTTCCTAAATATACATTTGACTGCCGTATTGTTCTAGGGCAGAGCCACTACTTTCAAGAATCAAAGCAGACAGGACAGTAGTGCTGTCACCGGTGTTCGACAAAGTGCTTTTTGACACACTGGAGGTTGTTGAGTATATTCCTGCTGCTCATGCGTTTGACTGGAACCTCTGGTGCATGTATGAGTCCTTCCGGCCAGAATGGTACAAAAACTACAACCCATCCAAACCGGGGAAGTAAGTGGTGCACATTTTTCACTATTTTTAATCACCTTCACTTTCTATTGTTAATTTTAAATGGCCCTGGAATGTCACACACTTTGCAAAAAATAAAATGCAAAGAAAAATGATTCTGAACAAAGTCAAAACACAATCAACCTTAACACATCTCTGGCCAACACAATGCCATTAATAAATGAACGAACAATGAAACATGATTGAATAATGCAACATTTATAAAGACGTTTGCTTATTTGGTTCCTGAATGAATCTGTGTTTTTGAACTACTCAGTTAAGTGAACAATTTAATGTTTATTCAACCCGATCTCATGAAAGTGCGTATAAATAGTAGCCTACGCCAAATAAAAACTCGTGGTATTGATGCGCAAAAATGGACTTTGGCGTGCATATGATACGCATGTGTTTGGCGTGCATATAATACGCAGTTTTCGCGTGCATATGATACGAAATTTGTTGGCGTACATATGATACGCAGTTTTCACGCCTCTACCCCACAACCCTAAACCTACCCATCGCGTAGCATATACACGCCAAAGTCCATTTTTGCGTATCAATACCATGAGTTTTCGTTTTTATTTGGCGTACTATTTATACGCATTTTCATGAGACCGGGCTC